ATGAAAGGCATCTGTTTTCAGTCTCTTTTTTTAAATTTCAAGGCGACTGTTTTCTCTGATAGCTACAAATTTCTGATTTCAGTGTTTCGGAAACCATGGAATGACATTGTCGCACTGGTATACTAAAATTTTTTATTACAAGGGGTCCTAATGGAGATCTCAAATAAATTGGTTCGGCACGATTTTTGTATATTGGTTTGTTGAGCCAAAAAGAGCGAAGTAAGTATTTGAAGCTTTGCCATCCAGTTTCTTCTTGAAAGAATGCGCATTTTACCCATTTCACCGCCACATTGTCATTTCTTCTTCTAGCACTATTGGTACTCTATTTGCGTTTGATTTCTGTTTCTCTGAGGATTCCTCTGAACCTATCAAAATATCGTCTGTATAGCAGTTAGTGAATGATATATCCCATAAGCGTAAGTCTATGACTCTTTGAAATTCGTTGGGCATATCGCCCAGTCCAGAAAGTTTTAGTTAAAAAACAATACGTGCCGTTGATTTCTCAGCCCGCGATGCTGAATTTCCACTGGCTGCTTGTTTTTTAGCAAAATTACTAAACCAAACCTGGCCGGTGTGTTTTTCTGAAAGATGTAGAGCGGCATTATCAATGAGCTCGTACATTTTAGGCATCTGATATTTTGTTGTAAAAACTCTGGCTGTTTATCATTTTAGAGTCTAACGCCAATTTAATCGAGCCATTTTTCTTTCTAATTATAAAGATTGCACTAATAAAACAATCTTTGTCGCATTTTTCTAATTTTTCAATGTGAACTTTGGTCTGCATCTTTTTAGTACTTCAATTACGCCAAAAATTCAAAAAGGAACTCTTTTTCCTTTTGCTGTACAAGTTTGAACGGAGAGTGAAAATAGTTTACGATCGTTCGGTAATTTCCCGACTCTGCTAGTAATTTTTTTTCTTTAAAATTTCGATCTGTTAAAAAATATGTTTGTTCAACTTATTCTCCTCTTGGTTGAGTGACTGTGCATTTCAGTTTTGGGTACTTCTTTTAGTTTTTCTATGACTAGTCTTGTTAAGTTATCGCTTCCCAAGTTTTTTTTCGTTCGTGGCCTCCTGTAATGAAAAAATGGCGTTCTTCTTCGGAACTCCTTTTATTGGATTGGGTTCTAATGGTGATTTTTCCTAAGATTTTGATTGTGTTATCTTTAAATCCGCAATATAAGTCTTTATTCCTTTTCTCCACTGACGAAACCTTCAGGTTGGGATATCTCAAGTTTTATTTCGTGCAAAACGTTTTGCTCAATAAATCTAACTGGGCTCGCTGAATCTACAAGATTTTTCAGATTTACAATCATATACCATCCCAATCTTATTTTCACAAAGTTCTTGGTCCCAAGTTCGTTTTCATCGTAGATAGTTTTTACACTCAACAAAAAATAATCGTCATCGTCGCTCTGACCGTTCTCGTTTCGAGCGTTTATCACTCTACACATTTCTTGATAATCGCTCCAGGATTTCTCCGGCGGGATGGTGTACAAGTATCGATATGGATAATATCACCTACAATGCTTACAGTGGGCCGCTTACAGAGTTTATCAAAGTGTCCGTTAATGTTACAATTTTTACTAATGATCTCCTTCGCACGACAAACGTTCAAGTGGCCCTTGGTATTGCGTTCCCACATTTCATACACGAAGTATTCTTTTCGATATTGATGCTCGGTTCTTTCTTTTTTTAGTTATTTACATTAAAAGTCGTCCCACTCGTCAATGATTTTGTCATGTTTGTCAAGTTTTGATGGTTAAAGTATCCCTTTTTGTCGATGAGCGCCTAAGCTTAGAGCTTAGAGCCTCTGAAGGACTTATGGTAGCTGACAGTAGTTTCCGTGGGGTTTCGCTGGCTGGGCCATAATCCTGTAGGATGCGCCATAACAAAATGTTAAGACTTGCTAACTAGGTTTGTAGAGACTATGTAAAAACTAAGTAAAAGAATAAAAGAAGTGAAAGATGAACTGAATTAAAATGTCTGTTCTAAGACTAACGCGAACAATGAATGATCGACCGATGGTCGAATCCTGTGGTGAGTTGGCTGGTATCTTATCAATACCGAAGGTCATAATGACCTAATACTAAAAACAAATCACAACACTGGCAACAGTATTGAACTAACGTTGACAGTAAGAAGCAAAGCTTTCTGCATCCATTCACGGATTGCCTGGTCTTACATCGAAATCGTTACCGACTTAATTTCCTTTCCTGGTCTCAGAGCATGCTCGCTTGTAACGTTCAATTATAAATGTATCGCAAAGTTAATCTAATTGCATAATTTTGGCTTGAAAAATGAATATTTTGAAGAAAAAGTCTTCAGTTTTTCGAAACAAAATTTCGCAACATTTCCTAATTTGGGGGTCGCCTTTAATCTTCTTCCAACATAAATGGTCCTCCCCTGTGGTATTTTTTTATTATTCTTTTTTGGTCGGTCAACCTTAATATTTGACTTTGACAAATGTTAACTTTTTTCTTCGACAACAGCCGCCTTCGAACGAGAAAAACCAGAAATTTCTGCTTGCTGTCCGCACACGTAGTGTAGTACGTTCGTAAAAATCAGTGGTAACAACACATTGAGCAGTAACTCATCACAGGTAGTTGGCAACTGCTAAAATTTTGCACATAAAGAAAGAAGAATGATACGTTTCTTCAAAACATACTTCTAGTCTACAAGTGAGAACAAAAAACAATAAAACCACGAATGCTGGACATTCATAAACTGCTGCTTAATCAGAACGTGTTTTAATCTAATGATTATAATTCGGTTTAGTTTTATCCAAACTCATTCAAGATATCAATAAAACTTCTATTGAACTGTTGAAATGACTTTATCAAATTACTTTTTAAATTTTGTTTTGTTATTTTTAATTTTAAAGTCAGTTAGTCCCAGTATTTTGTGTAGTTATGCGGATTCGGAGAAAACAATTGCGAATTGTGCAAACTTGAAGTTGCGTGAAGTCCCCTCTCAGTTGAACAGTCATTTAACTCGCCTCGATCTACCTTATAATGAATTGATGACTCTTTCTGAAAACGATTTTGTCCCATACCCCCATCTGAAGCACCTTCAATTGCAATCAAACGAAATCAGTTCAATTCATCAGTTGACGTTCCTGAAAACACAGTTTTTAACTTCACTTTACTTAAACCAAAACAGTTTTAAAACCCTCAGTTTTTCTGTGCCTCGTTCACTAGAACGGATAAACGCCAGATCATGCGGCATTAGATCAATCGATCCCGCCTTCTTTGACGGCCTAAAGTTTCTGGAGAGTGTCGACTTATCGAACAATCTGTTGAATGAATTGCCTGATGATCTGTTCAGAGGCGTCAGGGTGCAGTCTATTGAGCTTTCTGTGGACTTCAGCTCGAATAACTTAAGAGGGGTCAAGGCCAGCAGTGTAAAGGTCAGTAAAACATGAATTTGACCAAGATCGAGGTGTATGGATAAGCTATACGGCCGGCTAGACCAGCATTTCAGACTGGTGCGGGCATAAAACTTTTGCAGCCGGCGCGACTAGACTGCATCGAGAGTTCGAACTTGTAACTCGACCAGCATAATTAAAATTGCCTATTTTCCAACCAGCGCAATCTGCTGCAGCTATGTTTGACTTATTTTGACTTAATTGTTCGGACTTTCCAAGAAAACGGGATATGTATGCTTGGGGTGTTGTTTTATTCAATCAATTATCGAACTAATCGTTTTTAACAAAAAAAACTTTGTACCCCATTGAACATATCAACTCTGAAATCTAATGAAAAAAGATATTTTACCTCCGATCATTTTTGCCTAGCTATAAGAGTTTGAAAGTTACCAATTCGGTCATCCTCTGGACTGTTATGCGCGCTTTGAAATTATTATTCATGATGTGAAAAACGTAACGCGAATTATTTAAGCGTGGCGTAATTATTCGGAAAAACAAAACGGTTCGTACGACTCAAATTTTTTCGTTTGATCTTTGAAATTTTCCAAAAATTATAGTTTTTCAAAAAAAAAATTTCACAAAAAAAACATTCGATATTATGGATTAAAGAGCAGTCGGAACAGGTCGAATTTTAAATATTATAAGCACCACAAAACACTATTTTTTAATCTGTAAAATGGTATTTTCAAAAAAATTTAGGCAGGTTTAGTCCATAATGAGCGCCATTCATGACAATTCTTCAAGCCAGTCTTCAAATTAATAATATTTTATGACTTTTTGGGGAAAATTTTGGCTCGAAGTCCCTAACTTTGCGATTCGACTTGATATGCGGCACCCGTCGGAACATTTAGGGCTTCGCCATGATATACGAGTATTCTTGTTTACTTTATGTTTAACGCTCAGTTTGACTATAGGACCTGCTCGACTATGAATTTTTGGCTGCGCGTCGCTTAGGTCTAAACAACAAGCCAAAACTTCGATACGATCAAAAAATTAAAATTGGGAAAATGGTGTGTCAGAAACTTTAATTTGGAATTCAAGTAAGTTTTGAAATAATGATTCATTGGCTAATCAAAAGAAAAATTATAATTAATCATAGTAACTGAAAGATTAATCTAAAAGAAATTAGTAGATAAGAAAATCATTCAATTTGAAAAAATCTTGTGACCATCTATGCGGGGGTGTATAAAACGGCTTAACGATAAAACGATGTAAAATCCAGCAAGCAATTAAAGATGAATTATAATCTATGAGATGACAGGACTTTTATAACACGACACAAGTATCAAAATAACACAGCATGGACTAGTACGACCGCTTGCTCCGTTGCGCTTGCAAGCGGCTCGAACCGTAAATTGCGAGTAAATAATGAATTCTGATTTTTGTAATTGAGTCTATTGCTCTGGGCGAAACGTTTGATTTTCAATTATTTTCCGACTTAGTAAGTCGACCAAATTGATTTTCCTAGCTCTCCCAAATCACCAAGAAAACTTTATTTCTACCAAATTTTCAGCGCCGCAGGCGGCTCATTGAAAAAGGCCAAAAAAGACTAAAACAGTTTTTTCGGCGCGCTCTCTCCTCTCAAAATTAGTTTATAATGTCACCCTTAAGAAAATTTTTTGGTTAGGTCAGCTAAAAATTGGTGTCTGTGGTTTACTGAGGAAGACCAGTTTAAACAAGACTCAATTCACCTTGTTTATAATAGATAAGATTGTAAATAATGTAAATAATGTAAATGATAAAAATATTGTCATGACAAAATTCTAGAGTTCAACTTACATCTTTCATAAATTGAGACAGAGTGAGTGAGCGCACTTAATGATGAATAGAGTATAGATTGACAGGTCGGTAGCGACCTTGATAGCCAATAGGCAAGATTAGCACGATTAATAACTAGCATTGAAAGTAATACTATAATGACGTCATAACGATACCGTTAGACACACCACACCACATTTCCCCCTCTAGGGAAAAATTAAGATGAACAATTGACTTTCTTAAGATTAAAAATAACTACACATACACTCACTGCCGTTTGTTGGCCCTCCCCCCGCACAAACTTGCTTTTATTACTTGCTTTCAAGGAAGGGCGTAACTGGTCCGAATGGACCTGAAGGTTCGGTAGAAAACGTTGTAAATGGTTGAGTATGCCCATGAAAAAACGAAGTTGCTTGAGCGACTTAGGAGGCTCCAGAGCTAACACTGCATCAATTTTAGAACGTTTTGGCCTATAGCCTTCTGAGTCAATGTCGTAACCCAACCAAGATAGTTGATTCATCGAAAAATCGCATTTCGACAATTTCAGAGCAAAACCTTCTTCATCCAAACGAGTTATCACTTTATTTACAATAATATTGTGATCCTTGATTGATCCTTTCGAAACTATCAAAATATCGTCCAAGAAACAGAAAACTCCCGATAAACCCTGGAGGGTATTGTCCATTGCTTTTTGGAATTCTTTTGGCATGTCCGTTAACCCATAAAACCCAGTTTTAAACCGATACGTGCCAATTTGCTCTCCACAGACGATATTAAAGTTGCAATGACGACTAACTTCATCACTGAGCGGAATCTGACTGAATGCATATTTCAAATCTAGGGACGTAAGCCAAACATAACCCATTTTGTCCGATGTGATTATCTGGGCTGCCGAGTCCAACAATTCCAACAAATTTGGCATCTGATATTGGTTCTTATGAATCTGATCATTCATAGGCTTTGCATCCATAGCCAATTTCACGGAACCATCCTTTTTAGCCGTAATTACAATCGGTGAGATAAAATGTTCGCTTGTACATTTGTTAAGTTTGACCACGTGGCCTTCTCGAATTAACTTCCGAATTTCCAGGCCAACTTTATCTTGGATATGCACTGGAATCCGCCTTCCTTTCTCCTGAATCGGAACAAGCGGAGACTTGAATGTAGAGAATACTTGGTGATTTTTGGCTCTACCTATTCTGGAAAATACACGATGAAATTTCTGATGGAAATGTGTTTTCCAAGACTCTGACGTCTCATTCAGGTTTGATAGGGATACTTCACCCACCAAAGACCTTTCTGGTCTAACTTGCGTTGTCCTCACCCCCAACTGGGGCTGCAAGTCCAAACCTAATAAGCATCGTGTACGATTTTCCGAAATGAGAAACTTTGCAGATTTGACCAGCCAACCCAATGATGACACATCCAATATCATTGTACCCATCAGTTCAATTTTTTTCCTATTGTAGTCAACATATACCGTGTCGATTGGACGTTCGTGATCGCTAAAAACTTTGGCTGACGGTACAGTTTTCATGATGTAGTCTGCTGTCTTCTTATTTACGAAAGAAGCAGGGCTTCCAGTATCCACCGTTGCTTTGAAGAACGTCTTCCCACAAGGAAGTGTTATCTGAATAGAGCGTAACTTGCCCGTAGCAGCATTAACCACCTCCAACTTCTTCACTGACGCAATGGGACGACTCGGTTCTTCTGACGCCACTGACAAAACAGCAAACTCTGGCTCACTATCGGATGTGATGAAATAATCTTCTTCCACCGTCTCATCTGACTCAGCTTCTACGTTCGCTACGTTCTTGGAGTTACAGCATTTTGCGAAGTGATCCTTCTTACTACAATTCCTACAAATCACATTTCTGGCTGGACAACTTTGCTTATGATTTGCCGCAAAAATAACATAATTTCGCTTTCTCGTTGGTCCCCTTCGACTTATTGTTCTGAGCCCGATTGATTCTATCTGACAATTTCTTCCCTTGGACAGAAAATGCAGGTTTTTGTTTTATGCGAGTGTTCTGACCCGAATTGGCTCCTGACTGGGAAAAACTGCCCATCGAAGCCGAACTCCCAAGTTGCTTTTGCAGATGAGTGGCGGTTTGTGCCCCTTTTTCCTGCAGCAACGCTGATTTCAGCGTCTCTTCTGGAGTGGTACCTGGGCGAATACACAATTCTCTCTGAATGTCTTTATATCTCATCTTGGCAATGAAGATATCTCTTACAACTTCTTTTTCCTGATCAATTGTCCATCCACACAGGGCGGCTTGTCCCGTCAGTCGCAAATAAAAAGCTTCCAAACCTTCACGATCTGAATGTACGGCGTTGTACATTTGCAAACGTTCGATAATGTAATTTTTTTCCTTCTTGAAAAGGAGTACACAGAATTCGTGAAATTCCTGAAATGATATTGCACTGAAATCCGCATGTGGGTAACTTTGGAGGAACCTTTTCTTCCCTTCTGAGCCAAGCGAAAAGAATAAACGAGATTTATTTCGTTGCTCAACTTCGTAGTAGAACACACCTGGTGCTACTCTGGGACATTTCGCCCGGCGTTTTTCTTTCATATCCGCCACTCTTCGTACGGCTGCATCGTTTCGTGCAATACGATTCGCAATTGCTGCCGCATCCTCATCCACCCCCACAGCTTCTCGTTTTGGAACAGGATCATCATGTACCACACCCGGTGGTTTCAATGACTCACGTGGATCACACCTTTCTCTCAGGGTGATTGCTAAGTTGAATTGGCCTATCCAAGAATCCCAGCTGCTGGGTGGATCCGCTGTTGGTTTATGCCAGAATACGGGAACACCTAACAGGTCAGTCCGATCCTCCGAAATCGATCCTACTGGCTGCGCCATTTTGTTTACTGAGGAATACCAGTTTAAACAAGACTCAATTCACCTTGTTTATAATAGATAAGATTGTAAATAATGTAAATAATGTAAATGATATAAATAATGTCATGGCAAAATTCTAGAGTTCAACTTACATCTTTCATAAATTGAGACAGAGTGAGTGAGCGCACTTAATGATGAATAGAGTATAGATTGACAGGTCGGTAGCGACCTTGATAGCCAATAGGCAAGATTAGGACCATTAATAACTAGCATTGAAAGTAATACTATAATGACGTCATAACGACGCGTTAGACACACCACACCACATTTCCCCCTCTAGGGAAAAATTAAAATGAACAATTGAATTTCTTAAGATTAAAAATAAATACACATACACTCACTGCCGTTTGTTGGCCCTCCCCCCGCACAAACTTGCTTTTATTACTTGCTTTCAAGGAAGGGCATAACTGGTCCGAATGGACCTGAAGGTTCGGTAGAAAACGTTGTAAATGGTTGAGTATGCCCATGAAAAAACTAAGTTGCTTGAGCGACTTAGAAGGCTCCAGAGCTAACACTGCATCGATTTTAGAACGTTTTGGTCTATAGCCTTCTGAGTCAATGTCGTAACCCAACCAAGATAGTTGATTCATCGAAAAATCGCATTTCGACAATTTCAGAGCAAAACCTTCTTCATCCAAACGAGTTATCACTTTATTTACAAGAATATTGTGATCCTTGATTGATCCTTTCGAAACTATCAAAATATCGTCCAAGAAACAGAAAACTCCCGATAAGCCCTGGAGGGTATTGTCCATTGCTTTTTGGAATTCTTTTGGCATGTCCGTTAACCCATAAAACCCAGTTTTAAACCGATACGTGCCAATTTCCTCTCCACAGACGATATTAAAGTTGCAATGACGACTAACTTCATCACTGAGCGGAATCTGATTGAATGCATATTTCAAATCTAGGGACGTAAGCCAAACATAACCCATTTTGTCCGATGTGATTATCTGGGCTGCCGAGTCCAACAATTCCAACAAATTTGGCATCTGATATTGGTTCTTATGAATCTGATCATTCATAGGCTTTGCATCCATAGCCAATTTCACGGAACCATCCTTTTTAGCCGTAATTACAATCGGTGAGATAAAATGTTCGCTTGTACATTTGTTAAGTTTGACCACGTGGCCTTCTCGAATTAACTTCCGAATTTCCAGGCCAACTTTATCTTGGATATGCACTGGAATCCGCCTTCCTTTCTCCTGAATCGGAACAAGCGGAGACTTGAATGTAGAGAATACTTGGTGATTTTTGGCTCTACCTATTCTGGAAAATACACGATGAAATTTCTGATGGAAATGTGTTTTCCAAGACTCTGACGTCTCATTCAGGTTTGATAGGGATACTTCACCCACCAAAGACCTTTCTGGTCTAACTTGCGTTGTCCTCACCCCCAACTGGGGCTGCAAGTCCAAACCTAATAAGCATCGTGTACGATTTTCCGAAATGAGAAACTTTGCAGATTTGACCAGCCAACCCAATGATGACACATCCAATATCATTGTACCCATCAGTTCAATTTTTTTCCTATTGTAGTCAACATATACCGTGTCGATTGGACGTTCGTGATCGCTAAAAACTTTGGCTGACGGTACAGTTTTCATGATGTAGTCTGCTGTCTTCTTATTTACGAAAGAAGCAGGGCTTCCAGTATCCACCGTTGCTTTGAAGAACGTCTTCCCACAAGGAAGTGTTATCTGAATAGAGCGTAACTTGCCCGTAGCAGCATTAACCACCTCCAACTTCTTCACTGACGCAATGGGACGACTCGGTTCTTCTGACGCCACTGACAAAACAGCAAACTCTGGCTCACTATCGGATGTGATGAAATAATCTTCTTCCACCGTCTCATCTGACTCAGCTTCTACGTTCGCTACGTTCTTGGAGTTACAGCATTTTGCGAAGTGATCCTTCTTACTACAATTCCTACAAATCACATTTCTGGCTGGACAACTTTGCTTATGATTTGCTGAAAACCTGTTACCGCAAAAATAACATTATTTCGCTTTCTCGTTGGTCCCCTTCGACTTATTGTTCTGAGCCCGATTGATTCTATCTGACAATTTCTTCCCTTGGACAGAAAATGCAGGTTTTTGTTTTATGCGAGTGTTCTGACCCGAATTGGCTCCTGACTGGGAAAAACTGCCCATCGAAGCCGAACTCCCAAGTTGCTTTTGCAGATGAGTGGCGGTTTGTGCCCCTTTTTCCTGCAGCAACGCTGATTTCAGCGTCTCTTCTGGAGTGGTACCTGGGCGAATACACAATTCTCTCTGAATGTCTTTATATATCATCTTGGCAATGAAGATATCTCTTACAACTTCTTTTTCCTGATCAATTGTCCATCCACACAGGGCGGCTTGTCCCGTCAGTCGCAAATAAAAAGCTTACAAACCTTCACGATCTGAATGTACGGCGTTGTACATTTGCAAACGTTCGATAATGTAATTTTTTTCCTTCTTGAAAAGGAGTACACAGAATTCGTGAAATTCCTGAAATGATATTGCACTGAGATCCGCATGTGGGTAACTTTGGAGGAACCTTTTCTTCCCTTCTGAGCCAAGCGAAAAGAATAAACGAGATTTATTTCGTTGCTCAACTTCGTAGTAGAACACACCTGGTGCTACTCTGGGACATTTCGCCCGGCGTTTTTCTTTCATATCCGCCACTCTTCGTACGGCTGCACCGTTTCGTGCAATACGATTCGCAATTGCTGCCGCATCCTCATCCACCCCCACAGCTTCTCGTTTTGGAACAGGATCATCATGTACCACACCCGGTGGTTTCAATGACTCACGTGGATCACACCTTTCTCTCAGGGCGATTGCTAAGTTGAATTGGCCTATCTAAGAATCACAGCTGCTGGGTGGATCCGCTGTTGGTTTATGCCAGAATACGGGAACACCTAACAGGTCAGTCCGATCCTCCGAAATCGATCCTGCTGGCTGCGCCATTTGGTTTACTGAGGAAACCAGTTTAAACAAGACTCAATTCACCTTGTTTATAATAGATAAGATTGTAAATAATGCAAATAATGTAAATGATATAAATAATGTCATGGCAAAATTCTAGAGTTCAACTTACATCTTTCATAAATTGAGACAGAGTGAGTGAGCGCACTTAATGATGAATAGAGTATAGATTGACAGGTCGGTAGCGACCTTGATAGCCAATAGGCAAGATTAGCACGATTATTAACTAGCATTGAAAGTAATACTATAATGACGTCAAAACGATACCGTTAGACACACCACACCACACCACAGTGTCATAAAACAATACCAAAGGTGTTTTAATCCCACAAGGAGGCGCATCTGCACCACCTCCCTCGTCTCCCCCCCCCCCCCCTAAGTCCGCTCCTGTTGCCACCTGAGGGAAAAAGCAGCTTTAACGGTCATGTTTAGAAGCTTAATGGGCTCTTTTAAAGACACTTTTAAAGGCTTCCGGAGATTAGCCTTGTCTTCAAACGAGTCATTTTTTGTTGTCATTTTTGTCGTTTGATTTTTTTATCTGCTGTATCTGTTTCCTTTTTAAATGTAAAAGAACAAAGTCTTGTCATTTATAGATCGTGTTGAATTTTTTCAAGAAAAAAAAACAAAACTTATTCACGCTCTTGCCTTTTGCCTTTTTGCTGCTTAGCTTTTGATTTATATATAGTTTTAGTTCATTTCCTTTCTTCATTTCCATTCATTTCGCGCTTCTCTCGTCCCCTTCCCCCCGAATCCGCTGCTGATTTTAATTCCTTTCACATTTGACAGTCTCTGATCAACGGAAGTGCCTCATACAGCCAGCTGAGACTGTACTTGAATGAGAACCCCATCCACTGCAACTGTCTCATGCGTTGGGTGTCCCAGTTCACATCCAATCCCTCAGTAGGTCCCACCCAGTTGGACGTCCAGGGCACTTGTTCCTCCCCTCTCGAGCTGCAAGGGATCAGGGTGCGAGATGTGCCAGGGAGGATGATGAAGTGTGAGGCTCCTCTGATCCAGAACGAGCGAGAAGTGTTTCTCTTTTCGGAACACACGGAGAAAGCTGTGGTGAGATGTGAAGCGACGGGAGATCCAACGCCCTATGTGTTTTTTCAAGTCAAATCTATTGATGCTGTACTACTCCCCGGACAAAAACTGGTACGTATTTCAATTTTTTCATTTCATTAACTCAGGATTGTTTTGATTCTTTCTTATTCCATAATCACTGCAGCGCTTCTTAAGAATTGTGGTGATCAATCATATTTAATTGTGAACAATTTACTGTCACATACTTTCACTCCCTGCAACTTAAATCAATTTGAACTTAAATCAATTTCAAAGCAAAACATTTTAACGCCATTTTTTTAAAAAAACCTATATGGTTGAAATTATCAATTCAAATTCTATATCGAATGTTATTTTGAAATCAACTTCTAATAAACTTGAACAACTAACATTGCTTCTGATGTTTTTCCACTTGCACGACTGGTTAATTCATTTGATCTGAATTCAGCTTTTGATTTAACACAACAACACTATTTAGGGAAGGTTCTCGGTAGACTTCGAGGGAAACTTGCGAATATCCAAAGTGCGCATGGAAGACGCCGGCGCCATCCTTTGCATTGCCGGCAACGTGGTCCAGAACACCACTGGAATCCTGTCGATTGAAGTATCCGGTGCTCTTTCTCAGTCGGAAACAGCAGCCATTGTTTCCGCAGTTATGGTCTTCATATCCATACTTCTTCTGCTTCTCACAGTTTTCTTGATTTTTAAATGCTGTCCCTGCTGTCCCAAACCCAAACTGTCGAATCTCTGTCGGAGTAGATGCCAGTCGAGTCAATACTCCATTGAGAACTTCAAAGACAGCTCCAACACTTTTGGAAGGGTTGTTCACGCTTCATCTCTGAGCACGGCTAATATCACTACGAGTACTATCCATGGGCTGGATTTCGACCCAGAAGAGAGATCACAGGTAAACTGCCATCAAATAAAACAGCAAAACTTTCTTTTAATTCACGCTTAGATCCGCTTCATGTTAAAAGGCACTTTTTGCATATTTTCAGAACTATCGTCATCTTTTTATCGGGCAAAGAGAATCCCCCTTTTGTGATTTCAGGTGCGCCTGGAACGTTCACTCAGAGAATTTTCTAAAGACGGATTTCAGCAATCAGCCAATCAACGATCTCTTTTGAATCAATCGCTGACTAATCACAGCACCGGAAGCAGGAATGGCCATCCAGTCAGATATCAGCCAATCAGATCATCTGACATAGATTCTCTCGAGATTGTTCCGAGGAGGGTTTCCGAGGCATCGGAACATAGTCCTAGCAATCAGATGAATGGGAATGACTCCCTGGAAAAGTGAGCCTATGATATGCGTTAAAAATCTTTGACTACCTTTGCTACCAGCTACCTTTGACGCAACCGCATTTTATTCGTTTAATATTCTCAAGACGACAGAAACTATTCCAAAAGAAGAAATTTTGATAATCAAATGGATATTGAATAGTTTTGGGAAAAAAAGATGGTGCAAATTTTAAGAAATGTCAAAATTGGACACGAATGAGCTTTTTGTTAAATTGATAGCTGAAATGAGTTGTTTGTTTAGTCACAACTATCAAAACCTTCCAAATGTGAACACAAATCCGAACTCAAACCCAAATTACCAGCCCCAGTTAAACCCGCCGCCTGATATTTCGCCTAATTTCCTTTCTCCGGATGGAAATTACGAGGATGAGGATGATCCCTTTGATGAGATCCAAAGTAACCCTGTGCTTTTCTGTGCGGCAAAACTGCCGGGCGACATCCAGCTGTTTCCAGAACCAGAAGAGTTTCTATCTAACGATAATCCGCTAACTTCAACTACGGGTCGGAGGAAGAAAAAGGAAAAAAGCTCAAACACAGATTGCTAGCCCGAATCTTTACGAAATGCTTCTTTTTGGTTTTACTAAGAAACATTTAGAAAATTCACTAAAATTAGTTCTTCAAATGCCGTTAAAAGAAATCATCGAACAGATTTTGAAACAAACATTAGGAAAATCAATTTATTTGCAAAAAATGAACTTGTAGTTAAATAATTTCAAATTAATTTTCGTGATGTTTATAGTTTTTTTGTTGGATATATCAATATTTTTGTGGATATATCAATATATATCAAAGTGTGTCTGTATTGTTTTGTTCATTAAGTTAAAAGCACCTTCAGTTTCATTTCTAGTTTTCACTGGCTTCTTCATCTTCGTTCGTTTGACTTGTTATTATTTTGTACGCAAACTCTGTAGTTGGAGTTTAGTCAGCTAGTTGATATGAACTTCCTTTTGTTTCAAACTAGATTGGATTTGCTGTGGAGAAAAATGACAAATTGTTTCGAAATTGGCCTAAATGATCATCTTTTGAAAGAAACTCATGTTTATGAAGTTTATTTTTGTTTGATACATGTAATTTGTTTTTTCTTCCGTTTTGACATTTTAAGAAAAAGATATCCTTGGGTTGGTTTTTTATTCAGTCAATTTTGGTTTTCTAGCAAAGCATTTTGACGAAAGTTTTTTTATGCCAACTGAAAAAAATTGTTGTCCGCTCCTCAAAGCAACCAAATTTTATCTGGTACACTTTTTTGTAAAATTAAGGGTTAATTGGCCAATTTGGGATAATTAAAGCGCGACATTTAATAGCGCGCGCAAGCGGCGGTTTGTTGCGTTCCAATTTGAGTTGGACTAAGTCATTTTGTCTTTTTATTAGGATCCGAGACTTTTATACATGTTTTTTTTTGCGCAATTTACATTAATCTTTTTACAATAATTCGTCAAATTTTTGCCTTGATATACAATAAGTTTTGTTTTGCTTGCAATCGATTTTGTATTTAGATGTATTTTTCCAACATTGTGTAAGTACCGCGGATAAATCAAACCAGAGAAAAATTTAATTTTTGTTAAATGTTTGCTGTCAAAGAAAACATTTTTCTTCCAGTTTGGCTCTGTTAGTTGGAGTCTGTTCGTTCAGCAACTAGATAGGAAATAAGTTTCTTTTATGCAAGTTTTTTGGGAGCCAAGAGTTGTTTTTGACAATTTATTTGAGAGTGTACCCATTGGTTTCGAAATTTTGTCTAGTTAAACAATTTATGAAACAACTTATGATTTCACATATATTGGATTTTTTGCCGTATTCAAATTATTTTAATTTCAAAAATGGTTTTGCAGAGAACAGTTATGTAAATACCGTGGAAGAAAGATTCTTTTTTCTTTTTTTTTAGCTTTGTCTAAAACTTTGTGTACACTTTTGGAGAAAGACTGAAAAAAGTTTTTGTCATTGAAATAATTTGTAAGTTTGATAGCAAAAACTGTAACAGAATATATGATATATGAAGAAAGAAACTAAAACTGATTTTGTTTCACAACTTAACTTAAATTTCCTTACTGGCTCTGTTATTTGTAATCTTGATAGCAGCTAGATAGAAACTTGATTTTTTTTTGCTTTGCAGTTTTTTCAATTGTTAGTTTTTTGCTTTGGAATGATTTGACAGATTGAACCTCTGGAAAAATGTCTAAATAAACAACTTCTCAAAACTATTTTTTATTTCAAGGTTTTATTCTTTATTTGAGTTCACTTTTCAATTTACTCATTTTTTCGTTTATCACTGACTCTGTTATAAAATTGATTTTGACTGGAACGGAACGTCTGCGTACAAATCAAACTGCAGCACTTTTTTAAGGTTTGTCTAGAATTTTTGCCGCAGTCAAGTTCTTTTTATATGTCGTTTTTTTAAAAAAAAAATACGAAGCACTTCTATGCGTTTTAATAAGATCTATCACACTCAACCGCATCTGACGACTGCCTTGTGCTACAGTTTGTGATCGGTAGGATACTCAACCGCATCTGACGACTGCCTTGTCCTACAGTTTGTGATCGGCAGGATATTATAGCACAGCAGTTTTTTGGTCTGATTTTTTGACTGTTTTCTCGAATGTTTCAATTTAGTTTTTCTGCCGCTTCAGATGTATCTGGAGCCTGCATTTACAATTTATATGCAAATCATTCTCAATATAATCCCATAATTTGACTATTTTGTTTGCGATTGTCTTAAATATTTTCTGGCTTGTTATTGTTCCTACTTTCGATACGAAAGTAACGGAATATTTGTGCTCGGGGAAGCCCTGAATGTTCCGACTGCCTATTAAGGTTTAAGGAGCAGTAATAACATTTAAAAATTAAAAGTAATAGAACAAAATGAAAATTTTTTTTTCAAAAATTTGAATTTTTTTAAAAAAATAATCCCCCCACACACCATATAAAGTACAAAAGGATAGATTTCGCTACTTGTAACAAATCAGTTATGGCAAATAAGCTTCGTTAAACAAATTTGGAACGATTACTAAGACGGATTAACTCTCCGCTTACGCGTTAATAACCCACCCCGAGCACAAATATTTCGTTACTTTCGTATCGAAAGTCGGAACAATAACGCTCTGAAATGTCTCAAGAGCGTTATTATTTTGACACGCATGTTCTTCACCCAGTCATTTTGTTTTCTGGCGCGTGCTGAAGCACTCCAAGGGCTTCAATATGACCTATCACTCAATCGCTTTTGATGAGTCTTTTTTACTACCTGATGGTTGGCGCTCTTCGTGGTCAGAATAAAAACACAGCTCTGAAAGAACTTTTGTCCGATTTTTTTGCTTTTCTCCGAGTTTTTTTTTGAGTTTTTGTTTAGTTTTTTTACCGCTTGTTAAGTTTTTCCCGAGTTAAGTTACCGCTGGTTAAGTTTTATCATCCCCAGTTTTTTTGTGCTTTTTTAAATATTTTCTACAGCTTCGGATGCATGTGGAGCCTAAATCTTTTTGAACTGTGGGTCCATGAACCCAAAAGCATGTTTTTGAAGATTTTCCGCATTCTTTTTGGCAGGGTAAACACACGCTCTTTTTCTTTGAAAATAGTTCTTCGCCGCCATATGCAAAATGACACAATTTTTTTGTTTTCAGACGTATGTTCAAAAGCATACATACTTTGCCTTCCAGTAGTTTTTGTGGATTCCACAGTCGTCGGCGGCATTCGTTATTCTGGTTCACTTGAGATGGCTCGTTCGTTCTGGTTGCATCTGTGTGTTACAGCATGAAATAATGAATTATGGTTTGATTTCTTGATGTTGAAATAACCTCTTTTTAACAAACGTTTTTACTTAGACGCACTGTTTGACTTTTATTGTCTGCGTAGCTATATTGTATAGTAACTTGTTTTAGTGTATTACTTGGTGACAAGCAGAAGAGATCAACTGAGAAGTAAATAAATTGGTCAGCCCCTTGAAACCCACAAGAGACCGCAAAAAAAAGTTCACCCAAGTAGACCGAATTCTTCACTATTTTTAGTATACTTTGATATTCGGTTGTAATATCTGATTGCATTATTTCAAAACCCAGCCTTGTAATTAATTTTTTCTGGATATACATATTCATGTAATTTTTTAAATACATAGTCCGTAAATCCAATGAACATTATCGTTTTTTTTTTTGAAAGATTTTACTGCCATGATTTCAAAGAAGTAATGAAAAAATTAGCTCATATATTTACACAAGATCTATTTAACATTAATTTCAGCTGTCAAATTTCCAGGTCTCTGTTTGCCTATAAGGATCTGATTTCGGCCTTCTACGATCCCTGAGAGCTTATAATGGCTGTTTGATAAAACTACAGATGTAACTGTTTCGTAAGTGTTTGTTTCTAAATGATTCACTTTGGTAGGGACTTTTCCTAAATTTTTTCAAGACTTTTTGTCCCTAAGGTACAGTTACTAAACACAAAATATTCGTTCCTTTCGAAATAAAAATTGCCACTTTTATGTCCCATGTTTTTTGTAGATTAATTTTTCAGTAAATGTCTAAATCAAGCACAGACACTGTCAACTTACTGGAATGCAGAGAACTTTTTTGGATCATTGTTTGTACAGCAATTGTTCTAGGGCGGCGAATACAACCTACTTACTGCGAATGACAATCGGGCTTGGACCCCAGTCTGTACGCAATATACAGAAAGGGGGAGCAATTTGCAAGAGTTGGATGAACTGTCGCAAAATATGAAGATGCAGCTCAAAACTGTTCGTCAATAAACTCTAGAAGCATATGACTCTGATGAATGGAAAAAATGAAAATTCAGGAGCTTGGCGTTTACCCTCGGGCTTATAAAATGCCATCAATACAAAATAACAGAAACAAATATACAATGACGCCAGATACACAGAAAAACGTTACCAGATTTGCATAGAACAGAAAAAACACTCATGAGCAGTACCGGGCCAGGAGGAGGGTGGAGTTCCCTTTTTGCAGGACAACTGACAGCTGTTGCATAAGATAGCAAGCAGCTTGACCGGGGTCGAAGCAATGCGACGAATGGTTTTAGCGGCAATGGGCGACCACCCGCCAATGGCGTCGACAGAGAGGGGCACAAACGAGATACCAGATGAATGGAATGCATTCCAATTGCATCGTAACTTCCATGTAGACGTGACCCTTTTGTGAAGAAACTATTGTGAAGAAGAGGTCGTAAGATTCTACTCTTCTTGAACAGCCTATTAGTGTTAATATTGCTACACATAAACGTTCGCTGGTGTATGAATATTAATTTTTTACTGATATATTTGAGGAAATTTCTATTTTAATGAAGTTTTTCTTACCTTCTTTACTCCTACGGCTTTTTTTTTAAATTTTTTTTAAAACTTCAATTGATTCCTGTATGTTGTAATTTATTAACTCATCTCGGTGGTGCTAAAGTCGTTAAATTAATACTTTCTTAACACGTTTATTGCCTGAATAAGAGAAGGTTAAATTTTCCATAGATTCTAATTTTGCACTAAATCTAGACGTGAAATTTAAATATGAATATAAGTAATAAATGAAACCAAAAATGAGTTTGTTTTCAATATCGTCTAGTAAACATTGCTTAAAAAGTTTAGGAACACCTTTAAAACAATATTCAAGCAAAATTCAAAGACAAACTCGATTTTTTTTTGGTTTCAACACGAACTCAGATCTACAGCAAGTTATTCTATTAAATGTGTTTTCATCTGAAGTTCACGTC